TCATATGGCCGAACCATACATCATCATATACAAAAATTTTATTAAATAAAATCATGGAGAAAATAATGCATTTGAATATTCACATCATGGCAGAATCATATTCCCTTTTCAAAAAAATGTTTCTTTTGAAAACTTTCACAAAGAATCAAAACAAACAAAACCATGAGGTCATGTAGATATATGAACACCATAATCATATTAAACATGTTCATAAAAAAAATCCACATGCAAAGAATTAATCTTTAACAAAAAGACCTTTTGACCGTGAGAAAATTAATTTAACAAACAAAGTACCACCACCCGCCGATGGTAAAGCGACCGGGCTCTGATACCACTTGAAAGTAAGATCGCCTTGAAGACCGTAGCATGTGAGAGGGAAAAACAAATTTTTCATATGTGGAATTACACATGCAATCAAGAATCATGCTTTATGGCATGTGATGTTACCTTTGTTTGTGAGTTCAAAACTCCAAGACGATCAGTGTTAGGTTTGAAGGGTTCAAACCTTCTAACGTTGATCCACACCACCCACGTCAAGATGCAAGAACGCTTTCTTGAAAGCTACCAATTGACCACCACAGAGAGGCTTGCTATGCGCTCAATAGGTGAAGAAGGAGGCTAGGTATATGTGTTTAGAAGAGTGAAGTCTCCAGCATGAAAACTTCACAAGAGTGGGAATGGTATATAGAAGAATTGGCTAGGTTCTTTTGAAAAACCTTAAGGAGGAACTCACCAACTAGGCGCACAAGAGAGGGAGAGAATTGGTGTATCAAATCAGAATTTTTACTTTACTTATAATGAAAGTGGCGCACAAGTGAGTGAGACAAAGGTGGAGTTGTTCCAATTCAAAAATCCCAACAACCTCCCCTTTGAATCCTCATAAGACTAGGTCTTTATCTAGTCAAAATTCTGAACCAATGGTCATCATATGACCACTAATTCATGCACCCCTATTCAGCCCAAAAAAGGTCCAGATACATTTGAGCTGTTGCATTCAAGTTTGAACCAACTAGCTCATTGATTCTCTCAACAACCAAATCTGATTGGAGCTTGTTGGTTTGACAAGATGACAATCATCTCCCACCAAAATGGCGCCCCAAATCAGCCCTTGGAGATCTCCATAGATCTTCTCTTGATACAAGAGATTTGTTCCAACAAGATCTCATCTTATCCTTTTGTTATGAAACAACTTTTTATAGCCAATTCAAATTTGAATTCAAATATTTAAATTCAAACGTTCAAACATTTAAATTCTAAATTCAAATTCAAAATTCAAATTCAAATTCAAATTTCAAATTCAAATTTCAAATTTCAAATTCAAAGTTCAAATTTCAAAATTCAATTTCAAAATTCAAAATTCAAAATTCAAATTTCAAATTCAAAATTCAAATTCAAAATTCAAAATTCAAAATTTAAATATTTGATAATTAATAACTAATTAAATTAATTAGTAATGTTTTGGATCATCCAAGCCCATTAACAATACCATGCGCCCTCTCCCTCTTAGGTGGGCTTCCAAACTTCATCTTGGGCTAACAACCATTATTAGGCCCAATACCTTTAAGGCTATATCATCATGACATTAAGGAGTTAGTGTATGACCCATTAGGTCCAACATAGCCACTGACATAAATGGGCTCAGGCCCAACAAGCCTACAACCCATTTAATGACAACACAGAGCACTAGCAATGCTTTGTTGCCCCAGAGCTAGTTAGATTAATGACTTGATCATCCTATTACACATATTTGGTTGCCGTATGTATTTCTTTTCGTCTCGGTTACCTTCCCATAAAACCTAGGGTAAGGAAGCGTATCAACCCTTGCGATTTAGGGTAAGCTTTATTCGAAATAGGGAATCTTCAATTTGCTGACTCTAAAGGCAGATCATCTCATGATCTCTTTTACTATGCATAGATTCCTGAGTCCCTGTAAATGTCATCCGATTTCTCCGGTTTATAGATAACCTAATCTCTCACAGAGATTTGACGAATTCCTTCAGCTTATCACCCTAGCCCTGTGCTCTTTTAGGACAAGCCCAACAGTATACCTATGAGTCTCCATGTTTCAGGCAGACGAGGTATACAGTCAAAGCATGCCTTCTAGAACACAGTCTAGGTAATAACTTCTAGTCTAAGGAAAGACATACCCAAACATAAAGAGACTACTCTAATGATACTCTCTGTGAGATTTCCTCATAGAGTCTATTTTGTGGGTCTGTTCAGTGCGAGCTATACCCTTATAGATCCACCCACGACTTTATCTAAGACATCTCCATATCTGTAGCTCATGAGGTCTTTACCTTGCATCCGAATACAAGTAGATAAGTCGTGCTAGTCTTACCCGAGATCACTGATCCCCATTCTCAGTGTCTCTAGACTATGAACATCAAATTAGGAATAAATATCCAGTATCCTTGAATCCTCATGATCGTGATTTCATCACAGATACTCAAGAGATACCTATTTTATTCCAAGGGGTTTATCCATTACTCATATAAAATATTAACAGTAATATTGAGACAAAATATGAAACAGGATAAATAGTGCTTTTATTTATTTGCGACAATACAAAGGTCCACATATGTCCTAATCTAATTAAAAGATTGTCTCTAGGACATCTATATACTAACAGATACAAACAACAAGGGTCCATAACAAAACAAAAAATTAAAACGTACAAACTAGGAAAATTAAAAGGCAGAAACTATATTCAGCTATAAAATAGCTATGAAACAGTGCTTAGAAAAATTACAAATTAAAAACCCTAAAAATAGAATAGAACTGAAAATAGTAAAATAAAATCAGAGAGACGAAGAGAAGAAAAAACTCAGAGAGGAAGAAGAGAAGCCTACAATGCTTTTCCCCTCCTTTTATAACTGATCCTCCTTCATGTAAAGCGATCCACACCTCAGCCTTTGCGTGTGTTCCACGCTCTTCCCAATCATGCGTCTTCTTTGCACGATTAACCAACGCACTCCAAAAGATTCTTCAGCCCACGCCCTTAATAATTTACAGCTCACTAAATCGGTTAAGGATCGTATTTGGCTTTTTCTATATCAAGGGAAATGATTAGGGTCAGTGTGCGGGTTGGTTTGGTTCTCAATGAACCGTGCGTGAGGCTAAGGTTTGATGGTTTGGCTTGTTGGTTCAGTCGAAGTAAAGAATCCGGATGGTTGGTTTGAGATGGGGTTTGGTTGGGGATGAGTTTGCTTCCACGGTTGCTGTGCTAGGGTTCACAAGCTTCCTTCTTTTTGGTTTCACGGGTGCTAATTTGGGTTCTTTACTCTCAATCATTTTCTTTCTTTTCTTCCTTACTTCAGACCTTCAATTGGGCTTCTGTTTTTGTCTTATAAAAATTCGGCCCATTCTCTTTCTTTTCTTGCTCTATTCTTTTCTTTCTTTTCTTGGTTTGAACAATATCAACAATTGGGCCTGAAAAATACAAATATCAGCCCATTAGCAATCAAAATCAGAATCATTCATTTTTTATGCAATTTTTGGGTTTATATTATATACAAGATATTCTTTTCATTTTCATTTTAACATCAAACCATATGTTCTAAGTCACATATTATGGACTTATCAATTATCAAAAAAAAAAAATTCAATTTAAACACTATTATTATAATTATTAAAAATTGAAAATAGTATTAAGGAAAGGAAAGAAGTGTACTCTTAGTTATCTTTAAACACTCAATATTCCAGCTTTGAGTATATATAGGTTGTTGTAACCGGATTGCGACGTGATGGTGAAAGAAATTGAATGTTTAAAACAATGGAGTTGACACCAAGGTTTATTTGGGAAAATATTGGAAAAACCTTTTTTGTTTGAAATTGGTCTTTGAAAACAGAAATGGATTCGGAAGTCGATTACGGCTAAGGAAGATGTTAGCACCTATGTAGCACTGATACCGACGCGGAACACGTCACACGATACGACACGACACTCTGACACATTAATTCTAAAAAATGTTAGATTTTGACACGTTAGGACACGTTTTGATATTAAATAATATTCTTAATTTATGTAGTGTATATTTTATTTAATATTCAATAATTTAAAAAAAATAAAACTAGACTTATAATATTCATCAATTTTGCAAAGAAACATAATATATCCCAAATATTTATATTAAACTTAATAAAATGGTAATCGTAATTCAACGAATCTAATAGTTGGAACTAAAAACTCAACGCAACGCAACCTTTGAACTTTTTTTTGAATTTCTATAATGCGTGTTAGAGTGTCGGAGTGTCGAAGAGTGTCGGGAAGTGTCGGACACGACACGTTAGGGTTTTTGAAGTGTCGGTGCTTCATAGGTTAGCACCCTACACCATTCGTTTAAAAAATATGGTTACCTTATATTAATTGTGCAAATTATTGATAAGATTTTAAATTTGTATTTCACATTAACGAATTAAAAAAAAATGATTAAAGAAAACAAAAATTTGAATATCCTGCTGTGGTCAACTTATCTTTCAATTCTTGAAAGCTCACATCACACCTAAGGGTCCATGCAAATGGCACCCCCTTTCGGGTTAATCTAGTCAATGGTAAAGCAATCCTTGAGAATCCATTAATAAATCGCCTGTAATATCCTGCCAAACCTAGATAACTCTGGACTATGTAATACTCTTGGGTCTTTCCCAATCTAAAACTGTTTCTATTTTACTCGGATCAACAGCTACTCCATCAGAGGAAATGACGTGACCCAGAAACTAAATCTCAGACAACCATAAATCATACTTGGACGATTTCACATACAACTGATGCTCTCTCAAAATCTGTAAAACTATCCTCAAATGCTCTGCATGCTCCTCTTTATTCTTGGATCAGATCATAATATCATCAATGAAGACCACAACAAATTGATTTAAGTAAGGTTTGAAGATCCGGTTCATACTCATGAACACCGCTAGGACATTTGTAAGCCCAAATGGAATCACTAGATATTCATAGTGCCCATATCTAGATCGAAAAGTCGTCTTTAGAATATCTTCTACTTTAAACCGGATCTGATGATATCCGGAACGAAGATCAATCTTCGAAAATACTGAAGCATCTTTAAGCTGATCCGACAAATCATCATTGCGAGTATAGGGTACTTGTTCTTCACAGTCACATTGTTCAATTGCCGGTAATCCGTGCACAACCTCATAGTTCCATCCTTCTTCTTCATAAAGATAATTGGTGCTCCCCAAGGAGACACATTAGGTCTAATGACATTCTTGCTGGACAGATCTTCAATTTTCTTCATCAACTCTGCAAGTTCCACTGGTGACATCCGGTATGAAGCCAAAGAGATAGACCTCACATCAGGCACTAGGTCAATGGAGAATTCAATCTCCCTTTCTGGTAGAAACTGTGGGGTCTCTTCTGAAAATACATGCTTAAAGTCACATACAATCGGGATACTAGAAGAAGGCTCCTTAGAGACACCAACCAAACATGATATATCCTGCATCTCCCGCATTTAGAGCCTTAATCATCTGCAACACTGATAAATATGAGGAGTCTTTCTTCTCATTCTTAGCAGAGAAATAATTCTTCCAGCTACAACAATCAATCATAACTCCATGTCTGACTAGCCAATCCATGCCTAGAAGGATGTGCAAATTCATACCCTCAAGCACAATCAGATCAACCACATACTCTTTCTCTTCATAATTGAACTTGACTTCCTTACACATCAAAGAAGTGGAAACCAAGTCTCCGGTGGCAGTCTTCACTACCATAGGAGGTGTAAATTCATACATAGGTAAGTTCAAACCATTTGCAACAAAACCCAAAATAAAGGAGTGGGTGGCTCCTGAGTCAAATAATGCATCAAAATCATGGCCATCCATGGAAATGGTACCTCGGATCAGATTTGGAGACTTCTCCGCTTCCTGCTGGGTGATCGCATAAACTCGTGAATCTGGAGGTACTAGATGCTCTTGAATAGTAGTGGAAGTCAGAATAGCCTGCATCGGAACAGCCTGAATAGCCGCAACCTGTCCCCTTTTCCTCTGGCACTCTTTAACAAAATGTCCTGCTTGACCACAATTGCAACATACATTCTGCCCAATCTGGAAGACACCATAATGAGGCCTCCCACACTTTGTACAAGTAGGAGTCCTCCCATTTCAAACTCTTCCATTTTCCTTCTTAAAGTTCTCATTTCTCTCATACTTGTTTTTCGTTTTCTTCACCTGCAAGTCGTTGCTCTTCCCGTTCCAGGGAGTAGTCTTCCCATGGAGACTCTTGCCTGCTGTATCCTTGCCTCAAGTCTTATAATACTCCTGTATGTCCTGTTGTGGTGGTGGTGGTGGTGGTGGAGGTCCTGCTCGAACCTCAGCCAATAATAGTCTCATCATCTCCACGTTCGTCAATATGTTCTGAGCCATGAGATCCTCACTGGTCTTCCTCTTGTGCTCTATGTCTCTCTTTGGCCTCAGCCAACCTCTATAGGTCAGCTTCCCTGGCAGTATTCAAGGTTTACTGAAGAGGTGCTAGAGTAGCTGCTAAGGGATCCGGTTATGGATCCCCATCTACCCGATGGGTCCTCCTTTGCGGAGCCATGATAATTGCACACAAGTACACCCAGAATGAGTTAGCTATGCTCATATAAGTGATGACATATGCATTATCAAAGCACTCAAAGAAACACTCTAATAGGTAGTTAACACTTAAGCAATAAATCAGTGAACGTCCCGGTGAAACTGCTCTGCTACCATAAATGTAACACCCCATAGTACTCCGATTGTTAACATACATGATATTTCACACTCACAGCGGAAGACTTTATTTGGAAAGGAATAAAGCGCCTTATAAAAATACGAGTAAACTTTTTCCAAAACATTTTATAAAAACATTTCTAAAAACATTCATGTGAGATACTGCGACAGCGTAAATCTAAACATACATCTACTAATTAATCCCATGAGCCAGTATTAGTGGCCATTGACCATCAAGATATGACATCAAGTGTCATTCCTGACAGAGTCTTACGGACAGCATAACGGCTGTATTTCGGATAACTGGGAACCTAGTCCCACACTTACAGTTAACCTGATTGTTACAATAATTTAAACAGATAGCTTGCAAGTCCCACACGGACTACAATCCCCTCAATGGGTCAATACAACGATAAGGCTTCATGCCCAAATTAACTGAATACATGCATCAAGTCTATATTAATTCAAAGTATAAAAACATCAGTAAATAATCCATGGCTCTAAATATACAATCATGAGCCTAAATAAATACATACAATAATCTTTATAAAATAATTCAGCATGTTAACAAGTATACATGCCAACATCAAATAAAAATATAATATAAAATCATCAGCTGCACCATCAAACTACTCCAATGCGGGGGCCTTGCCCCTGGAAGCATCACCACTACTCTGGGTACCTGAAATGATGTCCCCAAACGGGGTGAGATAACAACATCTCAGTAAGCTCAAGGTTCATAGAGGATCATCTAATCCCCTGAGCCCACTTCCTGCATGACAAGTCAGATATAAAGCATATAATACAAACATACAGCAAAAACATAGCATCATCATATCATCCTTGTGTAACCCAAGGTCAAAGCCATAGACAGTTACACATGTGTGACTTCCAGGGTCAAGCCATAAACCGTCAACACAATCTCTGTATGAAATAGCTCTCAGAGTCAAGTCATAGGCAGCCTACATACCATGATCACTGGCCAGGATCCTTATAACATATATCATCAGTGCATCATCATAACATCAAGATCATATAACATCTATATGAATGCATATATACATCATACCATATACTTTCATACAATACAACCATAATGCCCACCATCATTTTGGGGCCACAAGAGAGAGGATGCAACTAGAACTAGGAGCTTACCTTAGGGAGCGTAGCACAAGCCCACACTCCAATATAATACGTATGATCCAACAAAGTCCTCAAGTGCACGGTTCTCTAATCACACTTAGAGTAGGAACCATTCACATCATTAATTACATATTAATTAATCAAGACACATCCACGACTTAATCATTTAATGATTCCACTTTTCATACTCATATTATAATAACCCTAATTATATGACTTTTAAATTAGAGGGTTATAATGATGACCTTATAGTCATAAATGGAATGAGCATAAAATTATAAGAATTTTGATACCCATATGGAGGTATTATGCACAGATGAATTTTCATTTGTCAAATTTGACTGCTGACGTAATAACAGTTAGTAGAATAGCTCCAAGTTAGCAAATTATAGTTAGAGAGCTAATCTAATGATATAAACATCATGAATGAGGTTAGGATATGATTTGGTGAAGATTGATACCCATATTGGGGTATTTTTGAAAAGTCACTTCTGCCGGGTATTTTGTACTGCTGTAGCAGCATCCGGTAGAATCCCGGAACAGGAAAAAGATAAGAAAATAGAAATAAAGACCAATATATGCCTAACAAGTCATAATTAGACCAAAAATGTTAAAGTTAAGAAGATTATGAAATCCGGGTACAGTTAAAAACACCGGTAAAGACTATAGTGCAATTAAACAACTGTTAGTGGATCTGTGACCTACTAATCAAATTTTTAAGTTATGAACATGATAATTAGACAAAATTAATGTTAAGTACTTAAAGTTAGGGTCTTGAGAGTTTTCGGGTAAAAATTTGACGACAGATCAGTTAAAAATTACACCGGGTCTCACTAAAGGACGAATATCACTTAAGTGACATGGCACCCCTCATTAGGGCACCCTCCTCTCCTTCCCTTCCATTTCTGATCAGCAGCCCTTCACCTCCTTCTCTCTCTAAGTTTCAAATTTTGAAAACTCTCTCACTTCTCTCTAAGATTTCTTCACCTAAATCTCTCTAAACCACCAAACTTCCTTCACAAAGATTGTTCCCCTCACTCTCCTCTTCACAACCATACCATTTTCATGGTGTGAATCAAAAATTTCGTGTTTCTTATCATCCCAAACAGCCATGGTTTTGTGGAGAGCAAAGGCTATGGAGTTGTGTTCTTGAGCTCTCTTGAAGAATCACACTTGCTTGCTTGTTTCCTTTGATTTTTGGGTAAGTGTTCTTAAATTTTTTTCATGAAAAATATCATCTTTTCTTCTTATGTTCTTGAGCCTAACTCATGAGCATGTTCATGAAGGTGTGTGCTTGCCTAAAGGTGTGTTCTTGGTGGAAAAAGGTGGAGACTTGAGCTAAAGGAGAAACCTTGAAGATGTAAGCTCCCACTTGGGAAATATGAACCAAAAAGCCTCCCTTTTTCTTGTTGAGTGCCTTGGTTTTGATATGTTCATGAGGAGAATGTTGTTTAAAATTTCGTAATGTCATGGTTTGATGATGATTCTTAAGTGTGTGTGTGTGTGTGTTTGGAACCATGGAATGATGGATTGGATGACTAAAGGTGCCACCTTTGGACCTTTGAGTGATGTTCATGTAAAAAGATGACTATGAACTCAAAAATGGACCATGAACATTTCAGCCATATCATGTAAGGATAGGGTTTGATGACAAAAAAATGTTATTAAGTTGTTAAGTGTGGAAAAATGATTAGAAAGATTAACTAGGTGGGTTAACTCTAAGTAAAACTCTCTAATCATGATTAATAATGGCTAAAAATCCTAATTAATATAGCTAATCAAATCTGCCCCATAAAGTACATAAGGGTTTAGTTGTGTTAAAATTAAGGAGATGATGAATTAGGTGATTAATTAAGGGTAGAGATTAATTAACAAAAGTAATCAAGGATTTAACTCTAAAATTGGACTAAAGTAAGGTTTAGGTACACTAATTAAATAATTAGTAAAATTTAAGTATCATGACATAATGGGACTAAGGATATTTCATAATGTGACTTAATAATAGAAAAATCCAAGAATTAATGTGAATTAGGATTTATAATCAAAAGTAATTAAGGTTTGTTAAGTAAACACATTTAAGGCTAAGTAACCAGTTTAGGCAAAATTGGGGAGAGCATATCTTCCTCCACAGAGATCATATAGGGATGTGCCTTATATCAAATTGACTATTGAGATGTTATCTACGTGGTGTCAAAATTTGGTATCAATTGAAGATATATTCCATTCTGTATGTTCGTTTGAGTGAGGACTGCACAGGGAGGCATGTGCAGGGGCGCTGTACATGGCTGACACTTCCATGAATTTTTTCTCCCTCAATTATTACTCAAATTAGGCTCATAATATGTCTAATTAAAGATAAAGGTGTCTAGTTGTCTACATAAAAATTTTAGAGCAAATTATTTAGTATAATTTTCATAATCGCAGAAATGGTAAAGGATGTTTAGGGCCCTGTTCGGAGTTGGCAAACAGCTTTGTTTGTCCAACTTCAAATGGTGATAACCGGAGCTAGGAAACTTCAAATGAGGCATATGATACCTTTTTGGAAAGGTAATTGAGTCTAGATTAACATACTAAAAGATGAGAATTTTATAACAAGTGAGTCACGCCCAGTAACTAGAAAACAGAAGCATGTACAGTTATGGAAAAACCGTAAAAGTGATATTTAAGCTAAGTGGGCTTATGGGAACCCTTAGTAACTTATAATAATCATAAATATGACTTGGATGAGTTGAAAATAATCTAAGTGAGCCTTGCATGTGATTCTAAGCTATGTAAGTAATTGAAGATTAAAGTGGCTTGTAATAATGCACTAAAATATGTAATAAGTTATAATTGGTCTAGGCTTGTAATGGGCATATTATTGGCATATGAGTATGAAAAGTGGAATCATTAAATGATTAAGTCGTGGATATGACTTGATTAATTAATATGTAATTAATGATGTGAATGGTTCCTACTCTAGGTGTGCCTAGAGAACCGTGCACTTGAGGATTTTGTTGGAGCATACGTATTATATTGGAGTGTGGGCTTGTGCTAAGCTCCCTAAGGTAAGCTCCTAGTTCTAGTTGACTCCTCTCTCTTGTGGCCCCACCATGATGGTGGGCATTATGGTTATATTGTATGAAAGTATATGGTATGATGTATATGTGCATTCATTCACATTCATATAGATGTTATATGATCTTGATGTTATGATGATGCACTGATGATATATGTTATGAGGATCCTGGCCAGTGATCATGGTATGTAGGCTGCCTATGACTTGACTCTGGGAGCTATTTCATACTGAGGTTGTGTTGACTGTCTATGGCTTGACCCTGGAAGTCACACATGTGTAACCGTCTATGGCTTTGACCCTAGGGTTACACAAGGATGATATGATGATGCTATGTTTATGCTGTATGTCTGTATTATATGCTTTATATCTTACTTGTTATGCAGGAAGTGGGCTCAGGGGTTAGAGGATCCTCTATAAACCTTGAGCTTACTGAGATGTTGTTATCTTACCCCGTTTGGGGACATCATTT